GAGGAAACACACAAGTTATCATAGAATCATCGCTGAGACTCAAAGAACTGAAAATGCAAATGGCACATTCACCTGGAGGGGCTGGAATTCACATTCCTGAGCAAAGGAAATCAGGTCTAAAGAAACCAAGTGGCAGCATGGAACTTGTGCTCTGGTGCCCTGGCTCTGGTACACAGCCCTGTCAGACTGAAAAGGGAAGGGTTCCCATAGGAAGAGAGGGTTTTCTGGGGAAACAGCTCCTACCCAGCCTGGGCTGCTGCATGGCCAGAGCAAGCAGGCAACCTGCCTGTTATAACCATGTGGTGTGGTCAGATACACCCTTTCATGTCCCCACAAGCTAACGGTGTATTCACAACCCCCCCACCAGCTTCCTCTGGGTTCTGGGGGCTCAGATCACATCCCATGACAAGGACAGCAGGGCAAGGGTGGCCCTGGCTCTCACCTGAACCCCAGACTCCCTGAACCCCAGTGCCAGTACTCTCCTGTTAGAGACACCAGCAGCCCAAGTGTGTGGCAGCCCTTGTGATAGAGTGGCTTGAACAAGTCTCCACAGAACAACTCCTTTTGGAGCATTTTGTCCTGCACTGGACAATAGACATTTAACAGCTGCAGAGTCACTACAGCAGAGCACTTATTGACAAGGAGCTGCAGACAAGGAGCTGTATTACACTCCAGGAAAGCACAACTTTATTCTTTTAGAGAAGGAGTAAAACCTCCCTGCTTAGAAATCAAGACCTCTGCCCCACCTGCTAACCCAGCTCCAGGTTAAGATGTGAGTGCTGTTGGCATAGTTTGAGGCCCTGTGACTGCCTGCTATTCTTGGCCACCCCAGGAGGTGTCTCAACAACTTGGAACAGCACAGAAAGGACAGAGATGGGGACAAGTCACTCGGGTGCAAAAGCAGGACAAGCAACTGAGCTGCACCACTTCAGTCCAGGGCACAGGACTGCAAACACCACTGAGGCTGGCCTTGGAATCCATCTGCACAGGAACAAACATCTCTAGTGTTGTGCTCCTCAGACTGCTGGGCTTGGGACTTCCCTTCTTCCTGCAGAAAGCTCGAGCTGTCCCGGAGGAGGGCAGCAGAGTCCCGGTGTGTCCCCCCAGCCAGCTCCTGAAGCACTCCCCAGCTTCTGGCTGCTCGCAGAGCTCTTGGAGGTGCAAGAGTTTGGTAGGGCCTCCCCTGGGGAAGGGTGTGGGGATGACAGCAGTGCTGGCTGCCCCCTCCCAAAGGCAGGGCCACCAGGCATTGCTTCATGCAGCAGCCTCAGAACCCGGGAGTGCTCGGCCCAGAGCAGCCAGGACCCAGGCTGGCCTTGGGGAGGGAACTCCTCCCCCTCCAAACACATGTAAGAAATTAAATGATGCTCTGCTGAATGGGCAGAACATCCTGCTCAGGAAGAAACCAAATCCTCCCTAAGACATCCCCTCCCTCTGCTCAGATCTGCTGGGCTCAGGCTTGTTCCTCTCCTCCTCCACTGCCGTGCCAGGGACACAGAGGGCTGGCAGCCAGGCTGGCATTAGTCACAGCTCCCCCTCACAGCTTCTGCTCCACCCCAGAGTCCCACTTCCTGCCATTGGAACAGCTCAGTCCTCAGGTCTGGTACAGCTGTCACCCGGGGAAGGGCTGGAAACACCCAGTCATGAGTACAAGTGTGCATGAATCATCCTGAAACTAGGGGATAGGCAGCAATCCTCCAGTGGAACATGGGCAGCCATGGGCAGGAAGGGTGGGCTGAGCCAGAGGAAACCAGGGACTGAGCCATGGGTTGAGGCAGACACAGCATTGAGGCAGACACAGCATTGAGGCAGCCCCAAGGACACAAGATCCAGCACTACACGAGGCACCAGGCTGGTTTCCACAGGAGCTCAGGAGCAAGGCTTCCTCAGTCAGCACCCTGCCTGCAGCTCACCTGGGTTATTTGCCCTTGAGGCACCAGCCCTTACTAGCCAGAGAGCAGAGCAATCTGCAGTCAGCCCCCTCTCCAGCACACACCAGTGCAGCTGAGCCTCAGGGAAGCAAAAGTAACACTGAGCTCCAAAAGCTGAGCTCCCAGAACAACATGACACACACTTTCCACCTCATTGACCTCCTAAGAGGTATGAAATTTATCTCCCCTCACATCCTTCACGAGGCAAGACCTCCCCCCAGTGCTGGGGACACCCTCAGGGATGTGAGGGAAGGTGCAGGACTGACCAGCAGCAGCCTTGCAAGTGCCTGGCAGGAAGCAATGCCACCCAAGGCTGTGGTTTGCACCAGCCCTGCTAGCAAACACATGACACAGGGCAACCTTTCAGCTGGTGCAGGCGTGGGGGACAGTGGTTGGATTTTTGTGGGTTCCAGATAGCAACTACAATTAGACATTGCTATTAGAGCAATTATCTCTGGTTTCCTGTGGTAATGACAGAACTAGTCGTGGTTGCACCCACCCCCACTACACCTAGAGTTTCTAAGCCTGAATTTCTTTGTTTGAGCCAGAAGGAGACTTGTGCAGTTAATTGTTGATGGATTGAGGGACACTCAAAGGTCAATGGTAGGAGGTAGATTTCCTAACGGGGCCAGTGGTTTGTCAGCAGCAAGTCAGAGCTGTACAAACCTGCTTTCCAAGCAACAGCTTCCCTGGGATGGGTGGATGTGACAGTACTGGGCAAAAGGTGACCTGCTGCAAGTGAAAGAGGGTCTTGCCAATTCTCCTTCCAGGCCACAAGAAGCACGTCTCCAGGCAGGTATTTCAGGCCTCATTCTCTGGGTGCAGACAGGAGCCCTCCAGTGCTCGAGGCAGCACCCTGCTGAGTTGGGACACTCACTGAAACCAAGGTTTCTCCTTCTGTTGTCAGAGTGCCCCAGGTCAGCTTGGTCACCCTCCACGGCCTTGCTTGTTGGCAGGGAAACAGAGTGGGGCAGGGCTATGGGCTGGCTCAGGGCTCCTCACCCACTGTTTAACCTGCCTCCCTGCCAGTCCTCTGCCTGGACACAGCAGCTGGGCATGGCACATCTGCCACAGAGCCAGAAGCATCCTGCTCCTCTCTACCACAGGAAGCTCTGGGCACGTGCCAAGGCTCCCTGTAATTTGTCCCCAGAGCTCCGCCAGCGATGCGCCCTCACTCCAGCCCCTGTGCCACTCCAGCTTGTTTGCTTGACCCTTGTTTTGCATCTGGTGAGAGGCTACAACAGCACCAGCTGCCAGGTGCCCCGTGCCAAGGGCTGGCAGCACAGGCAGCTCGTGCTGGCTGATGTGTGGCCGTGCTCCAAACGGGCAGCAGCAGAAGGGGAGTTGTCCTGCTGCTCCTGCCGTGCCACTGCTGTCAGGACAACACAGCACCACCCAGAGCCTTGAGGATAAGGGCACTTCTCCTTGGCAGGAGAGAGCTGCTGCAGCAGGCCCAGGGGCCGTCCCCAGCTCTTCACCCAGGGCGAGGGGTGGCCCAGGAGGCATGCAGAGAGAGGCAGAGGCTCCTCGGGCCCATCTGGCAATCGCGGCGTGACCTGGGCCAAGGGCATGGTGCAATTCCTGCTCTGCTGGATTCCTGGCTACCCCCAGTTCACCTCTGGCCAGGCATGTCTCCTTCTCTCCACAGAGGAGCAGCCAGCTGAGGGCTTTGCTGGTGCCAACAAGCAAGGCTCACTCTCCAGAGTCATGTCTTTTCCCCTCTAAGGGCTGGGCCCCCCACAGCAACGGTCTTCAGCCTCCATCTTCTACTGCTGCCCTCTGGCAGCAAAAGCAGCACAACAAACCCCTTGGGGGTGAGAGCAGGGGGAGATGGTGTGATGTGTAACATGGAGAGATGGTGCAGCTACAATATGAGCTACCAGTCACCCCTCACAGCCCAGCTGATCCCTCCCAGGCACTGCCAAAGGTCTTGGCACTTCTGAAGTGAAGAACTCCACATCCTGAGCTGTGGAGAGTTCTGCATCTCATCTCCACAACCAAACCCCCACCCTGGAGAGTGAAACCACAGGCCCTGCAGAACTGAGGGAACCAGCAGCTCGGGGCCCATGGAAGCCAACCCCTGGGGTGGGAGGAAGCAGGACAGCAGCACAGCCCTCAGCCCACACAGGACAAGTGACACTGGCCCTCCTGCTGCCCAAGGGGCTGGGGGCTAATTCAGAAAGCCACCATGTGACTTACTCAGACTGGGACAGCAATCAGAGCCTGGCAGGAGGAGAAGACAACAGAAGGTTTTGGTAGCTGGGCTCTCCCTGCCTGCTGAGATGAGTTGGGTACCCTGGAGTGCACTCAAAGCTGCTCAAATCCCCTCTTCCCCTGCACCCAGCAGCAGCTCCTGGCCAGCCCACACTGCTGCCAGCAGCCCCAGTGCAGTGGTGACAGACAGACCTGGTCATGGTGTGTCCCTGCTGAGCCAGCGTGCAGCACCCAACTGCTGCATGGCCACCTTTGCTCCTTGCTGCAGGGAGGTGAGCACCCCGTGAAGCTTGCTCTGGACAGTCACTGTGTGATGCAGAGAGGGACCTGATATAATCTGGAAGTCTCCTGCACCCCAAGAGACCAGCTGCTCTGAGCAGAGCCCTCACCCTACACCTGAAATGAGGCCTGAGCCACTCTACCATGGGAGCCTAGCAAAGGGACTTGGTGACTGAAGGGATGTGCCACCTGCAGCTACAGCAGGGCCCAAACAGGCTCCCAAAGCCAGCAGGGAGGTTAGAAAGCTTTGACATCAGGTACTATTACTGCCCCACAGAGATGGATGTTGACAGTGCTTCACACCTTGAGCTCCCTGTGGCATGGGGAAACTCATGTGCTTCTCCACTGCACCCTACAGCTGGAGAAAGAGAGGGGACAGGGCTGCCTACAGCCAGAATGCAAGGCCTGGCTGCCTCCCCCCTCTGCCCCACAGCCACATCCCTGTCTGCTCCTGCAGCCACCCTCACCTCACGGAAGCTGAGCTTCCCATCAAAGTCTTCATCCACCTCCTTGATCATGTTCTTCAGCCCCAGATGGGTCTGTGGGGCTCCCAGCTTCTCCATCATCAGCTTCAGCTCCATCAGGTCGATGTACCCATCCCGTCCTGAGTCATACCTGCAGGGTGGAAAGGGGAGGAAGTCAACCCTCATCATCCCCAGAGCCTTTTTCCCAGAAGAGGAACCGTGCAAATGGATCAAGTCACGGGGTGGTTCAAAGCTCAGGGGAGAGAGGAAGCTGCACAACACAGCCAGTGCTGAGATATATTAAGCTCAGGGAAGTAGCTGGAAGCTTTCAGAGCTGTCTCAGACAACTGCTCAGAGGAGCTCAGACCAAACCACCCACACAGAATGAGCACAGAGAGGAACTCAGTTTATCTCAGTGGGATTTCCATCTCACCCACTTGCATGTCCAGCACAAAGGTTATCTGCACACAGCTCACCATGCACCAGCACAGTGAGCCAAAGGCACGTGAGAGCCAGCTGCTGCCAGGGGTCCTGCCTGTTTTGAGGAGAAACAGAGCAGAGGCCAAGCAGAACCTCCCAGCAGAGAGCAGCTATCACACCCCTGCTAGCTGTTAAGATCTTTCCTCTCCAGCATGGTTTTGTTCTCCCCAAGCACCATGCTTGAGGGCAGCTGTTTATTCAGTGTCCCAGGGCAGAGCAGAAGGCAGCCCTGGGGGAGCACAGCAACCCTTGCTGGTGCCACAGACTGCACCACGGGGCCAGTCTGGCAGAGGAAAGTAGTGCCCAGCTGCAGGAGCAGGGCTGGAGCAGGACCACCCCCAGGGGAGCACCAAGGACTGCAAGGACTCTTCACAGGGGGAGAGAGCACCCGTGCAAGGAGCAGAGTGCTGTAGGGATGGGGAGGTGATGACCTGACATCCTTCAGCCTGGAACCATGCACCAATTCCTTCTGCTGTGGGGTGAGGGAAGCATCTGGCCAACCCAGCCACCCCTCACACCCATCACTGCATTTCCAAGTCCAAAGGCTGGAGGTGTGAGCACTCTGCCACCAGGCAGCCCTTCAGCAGCCCTCCCTCATCCTGGTCCTGCCACTGGGGTCCAGCACAGAGTTGGGAGCTCGTATGGGAGGACGTGCCAAGCTGGGATCAGTGGAGAGGCCCAGCCTGCCACTGCCCCCTCACCACCATCTCAACTCCAGAGTTAAATCCTTTCACCTCTGGAGAAAGGAAGCCCTAGGCGCTGCGCTGAGGCTTCCCCGGAGGCAGGAGCCAGTCAAACCCCCCATCCATCATCTGTCATGGACTGTTAGCTCTCTTCCAAAGAAACGAGAGCTGCAGCCATCCCGGATGGAGACCTGCAGAGCTGTGGTTACCCTGGAAGAAAGCCCTTTCCAGCTGAGAAACCTCACAGCCCAGAGGAAGGCACGAACAAAGCCGCAGCCCTGAGCCGCTCACGGGCGTGGGCTGCAGCCAGGAGCTCTGCCCCTGCCTTCCAAGCACAGGGTGCTTTCCTCCCAAACCCCAGTGGCCTCCACAGCCTGCCAGAGTCCCACCACCTCCACAGACATCTTTTTACTCTCTGTGCTTCTTTGTTTCCAAGGGTCCCAGGCCCAGCAAATGACAAGGAAGTTACCACCAGGCTGGCATGCAGCCCCTCCTACCAATCTGCCCACATGCTCTGCACCCAGCAAACCCACCAGCCCAGCAGGCCAGACAGCTTTCTGCAAAACTAGGAAAGAAGCATCCATCAGAGCCAAAAACAGGTCACAGACCTGAGATGTCAGGAGGAGGAAAGGCAGGAGGTTCATCACAACAAAGCAAGGCATCAGTTGATTAAGATACATGTTCACAGCACTACCCAGCCCAGCTCTGAGACACTTTCAGGACCTCACAGTAGAATATTTAATTGTCAGTTTGCTTTCCCTTTGAGTTTGGGAGAAAGGGTGTGGAGCCATTCCTCTGGAGTAAGGCAGCTTGAGAGGCAGTGCCTTGGATCAGATAAAGCAGCAAAGCATAGGGCACCAGGTAGGCACTTGGCACTGGGGTTTCTTTTGCCCCCAGCAAGCTCCAGCTGCACTTTGGCTGAGTCTGGAAGCAGAACTACACCACATCCCCCACCAAGGGCTGCCCATTTTGGGTCAGGACATGGCCCAGCCCCTCTTGGAGGCACTGGAATATGGAGAGGAAGGCAGGAGGGCACATGCCCAGCCCATGCCCGCAATGCTCATCTCACCCTTCTGCTACAGGCACTACCCAGCAGCAAATGCTATCCCTGGCACTCAACCTAGGGCCAAACACACCACCCTGAAAGGGTTAAGCGTGGGGCACAGCTCCAGGGCTCCTCATCCCTGCAGAGAGGCAGCACAAAGCCAGGATTGTCAGAAAGGGGGTCTTGCCAGCGGCGGCCTCGTCGGCAGAGCAGCACGCTGTACCAGCACACAATGGGTGTTGAGCACGCCTGGCCAGGGTACAGCTGGCACCAAGATACACCCTGAAAGCAGGTTACCAGAGCCTCCCAGGCAGGGACAGCCAGACAGAGGGACTCCGAAGCCCCAGGATGCTCAGTGCCAGCCCCGCAGAGTAACAGCAGCACCCTGCAAACTGCTGCATTCCCTCCCCGCCCCCCTCGCCTCCTAAAACAGCCCGAATATTTTAGGACCTGGGTACAGCCAGTCGGCTGCCACGGAGCTGACAGCCAGACTATTTAGGGAGAGGCATATTTATAGGGCAGGAGAGACGACACAATTCATTCCTCCCCCCATGGGCAGAGACACTCACCACAACGGGGCACACCACTGCCTGCACCTTGCTGGTCGGCTGATGCTCCCAGCACACCCCAGCCCGACCAACAACCCCACCACCTGCCCTTTGGAAGCTCCCAGAACCCCACCACCTGCCCCTTGGAAGCTCCCAAAACCCCACCACCTGCATTTTGGAAGCTCCCTTTCAGGGCCCAGGGCTCCAGACAGACCCTCATACCACTCATCCCAGTCTCACAGCATGCACAGCAG